AAAGAAGTTTGGAAAGAGTTTTGAGTTTTATTTTTTTAATGTGCACAGTATTTTATACATTTGTGTACTGTATTTTTTTTATAAATATTTGAGTTATATTTTTTAATAATTAAAAATAACAAAAATTAGTTTTTTTAAAAATATAAAAAATTTGAAAAAAATGTTTTTTCAAAAAATATAAAATATAAAATAATTTTAAAGAACAAAATAAAAAATATTTTTTTGAATTTTTTTAATAGAATTTTAAAAAGAGTTTTGAAAAGAGTTTTTGAATTGAGTTTTGAGTTATGTGTTTGGTTATGAGTTTTAAAAATAAACTTTGAATTGAGTTTTGAGTTATGTGTTTGGTTATGATTTGAGTGTGGAGTTGTGTTTTTTAGTTTAAAATATTAAAAAAATAAAATAAATATTAAAAATTAAAAAATTAAGTTTTTTAAACATTTTTAAATATTTTTTAAAAAAATCTAAAAAATTTCAAAATACAACTCAAAACTCTTTTTAAAATTTAAAATTTAAAAACTCAAAACTCTTTGCAAAATTCAACTCACAACTCCACACTTAGGATCCGTTTGTTTTGAGAGATGAAGAAAGGAATGTGATTGAGATGGAGGATTGGCCTTGGATATTAGGATTGAGATGGAGGCTAAAGATTTTGTATTAGAAAATTAGTCCTCTAGCTTAGTTTTTTTTTTTTTTTTTATATGTTGGGCATTTTTTTGAATATTAATGTTTAATATTTTTGTATTTTTTATTAAGTAAAAATCATAATGTTATTTGTTTTATTATTTTATATTTCTTTTATATAAAAATAATTTAACAATTCTCACACTAATAACTATCATAAAAAAAAACATAATTTTACTTAATCCTCCTCACTAACAAACCCCTTCCTATTAATTCTTTCATTATCAATCTCATCTATTTTATCTCTAAAAATAAATATAGGTACACATTCAAATCATTATTTTAAAACTAAATTAAACAGTGCCTAAATGTCCAAAAATTCAAGAATAAAGTCAAGAATGACAAAAATAACGATCATGCTATGGAGCCCGAATGTCGCGGCTCGAAACACGGCTCGACACCAAAACGACGTCGTTTTGGTGTCGAGCCGGTTTTTTTGTTTTTTTTTTTTTCTCCTGGTTTTGCAGAACGAAGAAGAAGAAGAAGAAGGGAGAAGAAGAGAAGGGAGGAGGAGGAGGAGGAGGAGGGAGGGGAGGGGGCCATAAAAACCGGTTTGAGGAGGAGGGGAGGCTGGGCAGACGACGGTGGTGCTGCGACATCGGCGGGGCTGCGACGGAGGAGGAAGCAGAGGCGGCGGCGGGAGCTACGACGACGGCGGGAGCTGCGACGACGGCGGGGCGGGGAGCTGCGACGCCGACCTTCTTCCTCTCCCTCCTTTCTCTTTCTCCTCTCCCTCTCTTTCTCTCCCTCTCCCTCTCCCTCTCTTCCTCTCGAGCCATTTTCGAGCCTGGTAGCTTCGAGCAACCAGGCATTTTCCCAAAAATAATAAGGGAACCTAATCCCGAAAAAAGATTTGAATAACAAAGTAAAGATACCGAATAGACGATGGATTATCTTTTTCTGTGGTGTTTTTTAATTTTTTGACTTTTTTTGACAAAATATTAAATTATTTTGAATAAAAAAATTAACTTTTTTTTTACTAAAAAAATTAAAAAATTAACTTTTTACTATTGTTCCCCCACACCATTTCTAAATCCTTTATGATTTAGGCGCGAAATATTTATGTTCTGCAGACAACAATAACAGTGTCCTATATCGCAGGAGCAATTGATGAGTATATATCTCAACATCATCATTAACACACTAATTTATTATCTGTGCAGTCACTTTACTTATTTCCTCCCAAACGATTATGAGGCCCTAAGTGGGTTGGCAGCAGAGCCCACAGCAGAGCTCCAGCCTACCCACATTGATAAGCTTAATTTGAAGGGCTAAAAGCATCCAATCAACATTTTGATCAGGTGATGTTAAATGTTTTTAATAATAAGAGGAATCTTATTTAGGCATTGTTTGACAAGATGGTTTTCAGATTTTTTTAATTATTTTAATTACAAAAAAATAAAATAAATTATTTTAGTTATAATAAATAAAATATCACATTCAGTCCATAATCATTACACTCTTCTCTCACAAAAAAAGTTAAAAAAATCAAAAAGTCAAAAAGCTCTTCCCAAACTAAGCTTTTTAGCTCAGGAAAAAATAGCTAAAAAAGCTAAAAATCCAAAAAGTCAACCCACTTCTCAAACGGAGGCTTAGGTCTCGTTTGGGAACAGGCTAATTTAGTAACTTTTTGGCTATTTAGCTAAAATATGAGCTAAAAAAAACTAGTATGTTTGGGATGAATTTTTAACTTTTTACGAAAAGATGTACAAAAAATAAAGAGAAAAGAGAATCTTTGACTTTTTGGTATGAATTGTTGAATTTTTGACTAATTTAATAACTTTTTAACTTTTTGACTAAAAATGAGAGTTCCCAAACGAGGCCTTAGTATACAAAATATTTGGCCAAAGTTTCAAATATTTGGCCATCTTCCCCTGACATTCTCGAATTTTCTTGCTAGTTGGAGAACTTATGGACATTTTTATAAAATTGTTGTTTTGAAAAGTAAATCAAAAAGTTAGTCTTTTATTTTTTTAATTTTTAAAAAAAAAAATTATGTAAAAAAATTAGAGAGATGATATGACCCAAAAGATATTAAAAATAAAAAAGTTGAGAAATTATATTTGTACTCTGAGAGGGTAATTTGTAAACAAATTGGGCCGAGCTAAGAAGAGTCTTCTTTAGGAGCTAGACTGCGTAATGGGCCGCGGTAAGGGCCGGAGTATGGACGACAAGTAGCTCGGTCCCTTTTTATCTGAGTACCAAACTAGGCAAGGGCGTTGACCGAGCTACCTAAGTACTAGGCCCAAGGGTTAGCCGAGGTGTTTGGTAAGACAGATGGCCGAGCTAGGTATAGCTCTGTCGATGCTTCTATTCCATTACTTAGTTGAGCACAGAGCCGAGGGAAAGATGACAGCTGAAGTAAAGAAAGTTCTGTAGCAAACCGAGGTAACATCAATGGCGAGGGCCGAGCTGTATATAGCTCAGCAGGGTGACATTCGATGAATCGACTTTCGATCACATGGTCCGAATGCAAGGGACCGAGATAAGGCAGTTCGGTCAGGAATGTATAACCGAGGTAAAAGGGTTCAGCCATGTCACTTGGCTTGCAGTGATGAGACTTCTAGTAGGACTTTACTAAGGAGAGTTAGAGTCCTATTGGGATTGTGTAAACCATCTCACTTGGTTGGTAGTGAGTAGCAGTATGACTCCGGAGAGTAGAGTCCTACTAGGATTGTGCAAAACCATCTCACTTGGTTGGTAGTGAGTAGGGTGTGTGATTCCTAGGAGGACTCTCATAGGGAGAGTTGAAATCTTACTAGGATTGTGCCAAAGTAAAGTCTATAAAAACTCATGACCAGACCTTTGTACAGGTATCCTAATTCTTACTCTAGAACACAATTTTGACCTCTGAATTCACAGAACTTTTGTGTCTATTGTCTATTGAGAGGGTAATTTTTGGGAAAAATTGGGCCGAGCTGCAAGTTGGGCTTTGAGGCCCAAAACGCCAAGGACTATGTAAGAAGGCCGTAAAGGATACTCCGGCCCAGAGAGCAATGTTACTCCGGCTGGGAGAAGTAAATGTTACTTCGGCCCAAGAAAGAGTAAAACTACTCCGGTCTGGAGGCAACTCACAGTTAGGCCGATCTCAGAGTTAGTCCGGTCGTGACTTAGTTTCAAGGAGTGCAAATTTGATCAACAGGATCATACGAGAAGAATTATTTCATGCTTGTACATGCTCCATAAAATATCACTCTTTCTTTATTTTTGATCTTTAAACAAAAAATTATTTTCTTTTAGTCTCTAAATTATCATATTCTTTTCACTTTGATCCAAATATCTTTGATCAAAATTACAATAATTATAGTTTTTGTGAAAAAAATAGCACGTGACTCAGTTGACACATACCTGATCCATATTCAAGGGGAATCCACGAAAATGGAGTAAATTACACTTCAAAATTATAAGCCTTTTTCATTTATGAGTATTTTTTTTTTCATTATCTTATGTGATACAATCACGATCATTATATTAAATAAAATTTATGTGCAACCTATTAAAATATCAATAGCTCTAAATGTATAGACCAAACACAGAATAGGCACAATTCTCTCATAAAAAGTGAGGTTATTTTGAGTTTAACAATATGATATATTAATGTGACATAAAAAAAAAAAATAGTAAATATAATAGTATTATAGATTTTGGTGTAAAATACATTGCTTATTTTCGATGTACCAAAAAAAAAAGTATAAAATACATTGGTAGGTTCTTCTAATCTTTAATTGATGAAAAATTATTTTTTGCTCTTAGAATATATTGATATGGCGTCCCAATTTAATTGTTATTAATTAAAATAATAAAATTCATCAACTTTTTTTTAATCTCTTTTGATAAGATAAGTGAACAAGTGTTCTTCAATAACGAAGGCCTCTTTTGGTACTTGACTTTGAGCCATTTTCGTAGGTTTGTAGTAAAATTCAAAAATTGATTTTTTTGTATTTAAAGACATTTGTGAAGTTGGTTTTCAACCATTGATAAAATTATAATTTTATCCCTCATGGATCAAAATATGCTACAAGCACTACTAGAAAAATGGGTATATGACATAGAACTTTTTGCGACGGCATATTAATCGTTGCAAAAAGTACTCTTTTGCGACGGGTAATATCCCGTTGCCAATGGTCGCTTTTTGCGACGGCAATTCCTGTCTCAAAAAGATGGAAGGATATGATGAATGGTTTTTGCGATGACAAACTTTTAGCCGTCGTGAAAGGCCTATTTTTTTGCAATGGCACTTTCTCCCCGTCGCAAAAAGTTTTTTTTTTGCCATGGTCTTTGTTGTGTCGTGGCTAACAGACAAAAAAAAAAAAAAGCTTCTTATACGCCTCTGTCTCTCTATCACGTCCTCCCCTCTCTCTCTTTCTCTCTCTCTTTCTCTCTCCACCGCCGTCGGTACAGGAGCACACGACCACCACTGCCATTGATATCACCGTCACAAACTAGCAGCACCTGATGGCAGCACTCGCAGTTACGGAAAACATTAGATGCAAATCTGGAATATAAAAATTAACGACATCTCTCACCTTTACGCGATCGTTCGTTCGTTCGTTTGTGTCAAGTGTTTTCGTGACAGAGAATGAGGAAGAAAGTAACTCCCGAAGCATAGAGAGAGAATCTAGAGAGAGTAAATTAGGGCTGAGGAGGGAAAAAAGTTACAGAGGGTTTTCTCGTTGTTTTTTGGTTTCTCTCAAAGGTTAAAGCCTCTGCAACACTTTCTATGTGTTTCTAAACCCCATCATTACCTTCATTTTCAGAGAGAAAATCCCAAGGAAAAATGAGGAAGATATATAGAGAGAGTCGTCTCTGGTGCGAGTTTATCGATTGTGGTGGCACAAATTGGATCTTGTAGGTTATTCACATTGTCGGTATATTGGAAAGAGTCAATGGGTTCACCTACATTGCGATTTTGAAGGAAATTTAGGGTTTGATTGCTCTCAATCTAATTGATTTGTGAGAAAATGGTATTCACTTTCAATTGATTTTTGCAACTATTTTGTTTTTCATTTTTTGTTTTAATTTTGATGATTTTTGAGTTATATTTACTGACCTTAGGTGGTAATGGAAGCAAAACAGTCTTCCATTTCACCAAGTGATGTTGAGGCTTGAATAATTTTCTGTTCTTAAACTGGGTTTTTTTTTTTTTTTTTATTGTGGTTACTAGTACAAATAGTGAAAGCACTCAATACCCAATTCAATGTTATGTTTACCATTATCTGATGTTGAACATTGAGGAACTTTGCTAAAGCTAGAAATTTTATTCGCAGTTATGGAAAACATCAGCGGCAATTGAAGGGGTTTGACATTGAGATCGGTGGCCAAATTTAGAGGCTAGAATCGACAGATGCAGCAATTAAGATGCGTAGTAAGGGCGGAATGTAGTAGGGGAATCAAAAACCCTAATTTTATTTCTCTTTTCACTCTCTCTCTCTCTCTCTCTCACACACATATATATATATATATTTGTATGTATGTATAAGCAGTTTCAGATCTCTCTCTCTCTTCAATTCAATTTACAGAACATGATGCTTTACTTTGTTTTGCTTTGATTGCTTTCTCAGAACTCAAAAACAAAAACAAAAAGGGTTTTCTTGACAACTCCATTCAATTCATCTGAAATTCTTGTTTTCTCCGAAATGGGGTTGTGGGATTCCCTCATCAATTGGCTCAGCAGGTAATTTACTCCCTTCTCTTCTAATCTTCCATATTTTTTTTTGTTATTCTTCAGATTGTGTTTCTTTTATTTTCTTGGAAATGTTGTTCATGGTTTATTGGGTACAACCTAGTCTCACATTTGTCACAAAATTGAAGTTTTTAAGCTCAAGAACAACCTATTAGTGTTGAAAGAAGAAATTATAGTTCCTTTTGTATCTGTTTGGTTTATGGGAAACGACATGGAAATAAAAGGCAAGATTTTGGATTGTTTTGCTCCTTGAAAATGTATAACAAAAACTAACCCAATTAAGAACTATACAATTTGGATTGAATAACATTGGAATTAACTGGATTATGTTTCCTGTTGTTTCTCATTAATAACAAGCTGGTATGTTGACACTCTATACTCTTGCACACAACTTTTCGATGACACCTCTCTCTATCATGTATCATTTATGGACTGTAATATTGATTTGTATTGAGTACACAAAAAGTAGATTACAGAGATAGTAAACTTCTATTTAAAATAGTTATCATAGTTTTCATTACTCAGAATTTTGACACCTAATAAGAAAAGGGAGAAGGATAGTGTGTGTATCACTTACAAGATGCATATAACATGTCTTTTTGTAATAACGTCCTAAAATTTTATAACATGAACAACAAAATGAAAAAGTTGTATATAACATGTCTTTTTGTAATAACGTCCTATATATTCTACTTTTTCAAACATTGTGTCCCCTTTTCTTAATTATTACATCGTGAAAAAGTTGTGTTTTTTTTCCCCTTATAACTTGTATTTTTAACTTTTCAGCTCTCTCCGATTCTGATTCACTGTTCCACTCTTTTATATAGATAGTAGTAAGTATGAAATGCATTTACAACCCAATATATTCTATTTGTAATTTGTCAAAGTAAGTTTTCTTTCTTGGTGATCTGATTATCCTTTTCTAGTATTTAAGAATCTCTAATGTGCCTATCCTGTCCAAGAATTTAAGAAATTCTACTTTCATAAACATTATTTGGTTATGTACTTCATATGGTTTCCTATTTGTCATGATACATATAAACCTTTACATGACGCATTGTCAAGATGTGGCGTGATAGTAACAGAGAGAAAGAAAACTGAGTTTAAAGGAAGGGATTTGGTGCAGGATCTTGGTAGGCTTGTCAAAGGTTCTATAGAACTGGTTAGAGATTTTGTATCTGGGTTTGAATTTGCACCTGGGGTTTTGGGTTCATTGCTATCTTATGTAGAACTACTTGCTGAGGAAAGCAATTATGGAAGTCATAGGATTTGAAAGTAAAATCTTCACAGCTACATGAGGTTAGATTCTGCTGCCATGAAGGCTCTAACTGTTATGGACAGCAAAACTGATGCAAACAAAAATTTTAGTTTCTTTGGACTCATGAATAGAACCTGTACTGCTGGGATGAGTAAAAGATTACTGCACATGTGGATAAAACAAACTTTGTTAGATGTGAATGAAATCAACCCCATGATGCTGGGGTGGATCTATAAGAATTCACCTATCCCAGGATGCTGGCAGATAATATTACTTGTGTTTGCACCTTGTAACATAGTATTTATAAATAATTATGAAGAATTACAAAATGGGAAAACACTAATTTCATATACCTTAACTAATAAAAAGCACTAGATGTTTTGTAAAGAAATATGAATGAATACATGTAACTACTACTGTAATTGTGTACAGTATAACTAATAGAGCTATGACTTTCTCTGTAGCATGCAACTAGCCCCATAAACTATATTTGTGTAACATCTTTTGGAGAATATTAGCAATCACTAGTGTAATACGTTTTTATGCCTTTCAAATTCCACAATTCTTATAATTGACTAACTGCAGAGGAAAACTCCATTCTTAAGAAAGAGATTTTGGTGATATATCTACTCACTTATGAGTTATCTGTATTTATTCCTTGTCTAGGACAGCCCACTAGAACTTGCTTTGAGAGGGTAATTTGTAAACAAATTGGACCGAGCTAGAAAGAGTCTTCTTTGGGAGTTGGGCCGCGTAATGGGCCGAGATAAGGGTTGGTATAGCTCGATCTTAGGCCAAGAAGACATCTCATATTTCGGGTTTGGGCCGAACTATGAGTTAAGGTAATTATTTATGTAGCACGGTCTTTGATCATCTAAACATCGGGTCTATCAGAGATGGGCTACCAGTGACCTGACCTAGCTATCCTGGATCGAGGTATCAGTGGAAGGAGAACCGAGCTAAAGGATAGCTCTGTAAGGCGTCATCTCAGAGTCAAGACTGACAGTGGTGCTTAAAGTATCACCGAGCTGTGTGAGCACGGTTGACCGCAATGTCAGCCGAGGTAAGGGTTCAGTCATCTCACTTGGCTTGCAGTGATGAGAGTGTTTTAGGGACAATCATTATCCTTGGGCTTGAGACTCCTAGGAGGACTCTGCTAAGAAGAGTAGAGTCCTACTAGGATTATGCAAAACCATCTCACTTGGTTGGTAGTGAGTACGAGTGTGACTCCTAGGAGGACTCTGCTAAGGAGAGTAAAGTCTTACTAGGATTGTGCAAACCATATCACTTGGTTGGTAGTGAGTAGGGTGTGTGATTCCTAGAAGGACTCTTATAAAGAGTGTTAAAATCCTACTAGGATTGTGCCAAGTAAAGTCTATAAAAGCTCATGACCAGATCTATGTACAGGTATCCCAATTCTTACTCTAGAATACATAGAGCTTATTGTCTAGTTACTGACTTAGGCATCGGAGGGGTTTCTGGCACACACCCGCCGGTTAGCTCACGTTTGTGTTTTCAGGTAGTAAAGCGACGACGTTTGGAGGAGTGCAAACTTCATCAACAGGATTATACGAGAAGATTATTTCGTACTCGTACAATTGGCGCCGTATGTGGGAATTCCACAAAGAACAAAACCTCTTGATCTAGCTTTCTTCTCTAATTGGAAGCAATGTCGCACAATGAAGACTTGCCGTAATCAACTATTGATGGGCAAACCTCGGAAGGGGGTAAGAGGCATGAAGGTTTTCCTTCTATCCCTCCCATGGCAGATTTAGAACCCCAACGACAGAACCCCCGGAGGGATGCAAGGGGGAGGCGGGCTGGCAGCCCCCATCGCTCTCAAAGTCCTGAAAGACAGAGGCGGAAGATGGATCCCCAGGTTCTCGAAGATCACGTAAAGGAGCAAGACGAAGTAATAAGAAGAATAGAGGCTGACATAGAGTCTATGAACAGCCAGATAAAAGGCAAAGAGATGGCAGCAAATGAGAGGCACAAAGGCAACACACACTCTTGCCACTCAGAAGATTGTGACAAACAAGTCACACCATCACAAACTGAAAGTAGAAATCTCAGGTCGGGCGATACACAATCAAAGACTTCCAGGACACGCTACTCCAGGCCTGAGAGAATGAGGACTGAAAGAGCTTGAAGGAGAGAAGACACTCAGGCTCGCGACCTCCGTAGAGTCTCCGTACTACAACGATTGGCTCCTAGAACACATAAGAGTGTCGATGTTGGAATTCCAAAGCCACACCTTGCCTATGAACCAGCAGACAAAGCGTTAGCAAGATTGCAGAGCTCACCGTTCATTCCGACAATAGAGAACGCACCATTACCCTCAGGCTTCCACCAGCCCAAATTCACTACTTATGAGGGGAAGTCGGACCCCTACATACACTTGAGCCACTTTTACCAGGTTATGGCCGTGTTTCGACGAAACGAGGCTCTAATGTGTATCCTATTTCCTTCCAGCCTTGGTGACCTGGGTTTAACGTGTCACGACCCGTTCTCCGTACCCAAGGGTTAAGTATCGTGATGGCTAGTAACTAAAGTTACCTACGGCCAATTCTTAAACAAATCAATAAACGCAAGCGGAAGAAATATTTAAGTAAGGGTACAAAAATAATTATTGGAGCTTCTATTTTTATTACAAAATATATTGACCAAAAAAGCCGATAGTTACATATAAAAATATCATAAAAGTGTTGTGTGTGTCTATTCCGCAGCCCCGCGTCTAAGACTTTCCAAAAGCTATTTCTGAATTGCATGTTTCTTGAAAATTGGTAAAAAACTATAAACACATGGCAGAGTGAGAAATATTATACCAAGAGTATAAGGGACACGAAATAACCATGGATAGTTATGTAGCCAAAACATTTACATAAACAAATCATTTGAGTAGCAGAAATCATTTAAGTAGCAGAAACTGAAATACAGATATTATATAAACAGATAACCATAACCACGGTATAGAACAAAGGTCACAGAAGTGACAGTCAGAACAGAGGTACGGATTCAAGAGGTGGCTCGTACGGATTCTAGAGGTGGCTCCCATAATAGTGTAGCACTTAGCTTCGCATAGCACTTTGGTCCGCACAAAACAGAGGTCAATGGATCCATGACAAACAGAGGACCACAAAGTGGTCAAACAGAAGCTAATGGTTATTTAAGTCCCCCAAGGCGTAGGACTCCCGTAGTGGTACTTACAAAACATAATTGTATATAAGGTCATAACCAAATATTCTTTAAAATATAAACAGACATATCCATGGGTTTTCTTTTAAGCAAATAGGATTCAGAAGATAAACCACGTAACTGAAACCTTTATAAAACATAACTTTTATTAAAAACATAACTTGTGTAAAACAGATTTTGGTAAGTTAAAACATATGTAAAATACATTTTGGTGACTCAAGGTATAATATAACTCACCTTAACTTTAATGCCTTACTCTTTCTTTCCACTATCAAAGACCCTTTCAACTTCCACTATTATTTACTTCCTTTCCCCTCTCTCTCTCTCTCGTTCTTTCTTTCTTTCGCTTCTTCTTTCTGTTTTCTCTCCAGGCGTGACACGCCTCCCTATTTATAGGGGAATAAGGCACTACGTGGCAGATTCGGTAATAATTTCACAGATTCGTTCTTATCCTTAATAGATATTTAAGATAATTACCCTTTAATTCAATATTTTAATATAATTATATAAATAAATTAATTCTTAATTTAAATTACACTCTATCGTTATATCAACATTTAAAAATTAATTATTTATTTTACTATCACAACCATTATTATTATTATTATTTATATATTATTATTATTATATCTATATTATTATTTATTATATTTTGACCCCTAAACTTTTAATAATTATATTATTTTTACAAAATTACACTAATAATATATAATAAATTATATGTTTTCCGAACTGAGATTAAATAATATTAGTATAAATTCTATAGAATAATTAAAAATCTGGGTTTTACAATCTTCCCCCTTTTTAAAATTTCGTCCTCGAAATTTGTCATATGTAAGCTATCCACTGCGTACTCTATAAATATATATTAGATGATTAATCTGATAGAAAATATTACCTAAAAAAAAAAAAAAAACTTTACCAAAAATAATTCACTGTTTGGTTGTCAAAAATTGATTGGGCCAAAATGAGAAATAATGGGCTACTTTTAAAAACTGTTCACTCGTTTTGTTTATGATAAAAATAGATAAAATGAGAACACAAATGACAGAATTATATGCAAGAATTGAAAAATTTGAGATGAACTTTTCATTGACAGGAATAGTTTCAAAATTAGTATCTTTTATAATTTGAACCCAATTTTTAAAAAAAAACATCAAAATAATTTTTTTTTTTGAATACTAAACTGAAAATTATCTGTATTTAATTATATTATAATTTTTGGGGGTGCTTGAACCCGACATCCTTTTTCTTGTCCTGTTTTACTATAACAAATATAAATATATCTAATATCCTTCACAAATTAGACACACTAAAAAAAAATTATTATTATATATAATTCATATAAAATTATAATATAATTAAATCGACGAACAAAATAAATAATTCGGTACTAATTACCTTCTATCCCACTTCTTAAATGTGCATGTGTCCTATGTCCAATGATGATTTTTTTTTTTTTTTTTTAAAACTATTGCTCTGATACCACTTGTCACGACCCGCTCCCCGTACCCAGGGTTAAGTATCGTGATGGCCAGTAACTGAAATTACCTACAGCAATTCTTAAACAAATCAATAAACGCAGCGGAAGAAATATTTAAGTAAGGGTACAAAAATAATCATTGGAGCTTCTATTTTATTTACAGAAAATATATGACCAAAAAGGCGATATTTACCATATAAAAATATCATAAAAGTATTGTGTGTGTTTATTCCGCCAGCCCCGCGTCTAAGGACTTTCCAAAAGCTATCTGATTGCATGTTTCCTGAAAATTAGTAAAAACTATAAAGCACATGGCAGAGTGAGAAATATTATACCTAGAGTATAGGGATACAAAATAACCATGGATAGTTATGTAGCCAAAATATTTACATAAACAAATCATTTGAGTAGCAGAAATCATTTAAGTAACAGAAACTGAAATACAGATATTATATAAATAGATAACCATAACCACGGTACAGAACAGAGGTCACAGAAGTGACAGTCAGAACAGAGGTACGGATTCAAGAGGTGGCTCGTACGGATTCTAGAGGTGGCTCCTACAATAATGTAGCACTTAGCTCCGTACAGCACTTTAGTCTGCACAGAACAGAGGTCAATGGATCCATGACAAACAGAGGACCACAAAGTGGTCAAACAGAAACTAATGGTTATTTAAGTCTCCCAAGGCGTAGGACTCCCGTGGTGGTACTTACAAAACATAATTGTATATAAGGTCATAACCAAATATTCTTTAAAATATAAACAGACATATCTATGGGTTTTCTTTTAAGCAAATAGGGTTCAGAAGATAAACCACGTAACTGAAACCTTTATAAAACATAACTTTTATTAAAAACATAACTTGTGTAAAACAGATTTTGGTAAGTTAAAACATACGTAAAATACATTTTGGTGACTCAAGATATAATATAACTCACCTTAACTTTAATACCTTACTCTTTCTTTCCACTATTAAAGACCCTTTCAACTTCCACTATTAT